CTGGGCCGCATCAGTCAGCTTCACAGAGGCTGCTCGCTGCTAAAAGCAATCCCTGTCCTAAGCTGCATTAAAAGCCCCTTGTTCTAGACAGCTCTTGTACCATGAGCCAAGTGTCCTTCATAAAGCAGAGTGGCCAGTGCGACCTGGCAGAGTCCCCATGTCCTCCAGCACGACACAGACCAGCTGGAGCCTTAGATGGTGACTGACAGGGTTTCTAAATTCAGACCACATGAACATTTTTCAGAAAGCTATGCTATGACCTGGCAGAGTGGCTCAAGTGGTAGAGCACCTGCCTAGCAAGTGTGAGACCCTAAGTTCAAACCCCAGTAATACCCAGAAGGGAAGAAAAAAAAAAAGCTAGGAAAAAAAGAAAATGGTGATAGAAAGTTCATAGAAAAAGAGGCCTCATGGTAATACGCCTGTAATCCTAGCTACTCAGGAGGCAAAGAGATCAGAAGGATCGCAGTTCAAAGCCAGCCCAAGCTAATAGTTTGTGAAACCCTATCTTGAAAAAACCTATCACAAACAATTGGGCTGATGGAGTGGCTCAAGGTGTCAGCCCAGAGTTTAAACCCCAGTACCATAAAAAAAAAGTTAGACCTGAGATCTAAGTACTCTAGTTTTTTCATAACTATCAATATTTAATTCATCCTGAAATTTGGCTTCCTTGTCTACACCAGTAAAGGGGCAAATTATACCTGTATGGCCTCTTTTTAAGATTCTGTTTCAAGCAGGCATGGTGGCTCATATCTTGAGGTTCCAGGCCAGCCTGGGCAAAATTTCCAAAAGACCCCATCTCAACTAATAAAAAGCTGGGTGTGGTAGCATGTACCTGTCATCCCATGATTGTGATCTGGTAAGGCAAAATCCTATCTCAAAGATAACCAAAACAAAAAGGGGTGTGGCTCAAGCAGTAGAGCACCTGCCCAGCAAGCACAAGGTCCAAGTTCAAATCCTAGAAGCACCACCAAGTAAAAAAAAAGAAGATCCTATTTCAGTGAATACAACTCTTGACCTCAGCTCCAGCAGCAGTGAGACAGTGGGGCAAGTGATAACCTCTCCGAACCTGTTTCTGTACCTTTGAAGGGGGGATATAAAAGCAGCAGCCCTGATAGCTTGTATAACAAGCCCCACAAAAAAAAAAAGTTTTGCATTAAAATAAAAATACATTTAAAAGAAAAGCATGGTGACATAGGCCTGTAATGCCAGCACTTGGGAGGCAGAGTCAGGAGGATCATGAGTTCGAGGACATCCTGGACTACAGGGTGAGTTCAATGCTAACCTGAGCTACACAGCGAGACCCTATTTCAAAAATCCAAAAAAACAAAACATTTAGAATCCAAAAATGTAGTGTGGTGTCCAACTACACCTGTGACCCCAGCACTGAGGAGACTGAAGCAGGAAGATCACAAGTTTGAGGACACCCTAGGCTCCTGACCCAAAAATAAATAAGTAAATAGATAAAATCCTAAAATACATAAATGAGAAAGTGGCTTATACTAAAAAAAAACAACACTTGGAGTACAAAGTTTAAAATATACTCTGCACAATTCATTCCTAATCATGTCTGTCTCTTTTAGGATGACCACAGAAAAGACAAAACACATTTGAGTTTCTGAAAACTGGGTATACTGTGATAAAGCAGAATAAAAGTCATTATATATCATGGGTAGCCAGTTGGTGACAAGTCTGCATGCCTCCCACATGTCAAAATGCTTAATTATTTTTGGTGTCTACTAGAAAAAGTCTGTTGGTTTCACGAGTCATCATGTTTTATGCACATCAAAAACATCACATCCTGAACAAAACAGAGCATATGAAGAAAACTGAGAAGTGTGACTGAACAAGGAACAAGGTATCAGGTAATAAAACAGTTGTTATCTACTCAAAGCATGCTGCTGAGGTGAACCGTCCTCAGTTTGAGGCAGGCACAGTGGTCACAAACATTTAAATACTAGCATTCATGTATGTCCTTTATTCTCCCAGTTTCATGACTTGGGATAATGTAGAACCTAGTTAAATGAACCAGGATCACTGATTACTGTATCCTACAGTCCAGACCCTGAACCTTTCAGGATTAAAAGAAGAAACAGATGCAATGATGGCTTTGGATTGTATACAATACTGAGTTACGGGATGTACAATGTTCATGGAAAACTTCACTCTGCTCACTGAGAGGCTATAAACAGTATCTGTTGGAAAGCTGAAAGGAGAGCCATCAATCATGCTATTCTGGTAGTAAAGGCTTGGTTTCAGGAACAAATTAGTTGAGCTAGAATAGGAGTTCCTAGGCATCTCTTGAGAGTTTGACACAAGCACCAATCCTTTCACAAGCTGTTCTTACCTTCCTCAACAGTTTAAGCACTCATTCATCAACCCATGGCAGACATTACCAGTAGCCTACACGCCATTCTTCCAGAATTCCAGTTTTATTGAACACTGATGGCTATATGCTTCCCCAAAGCCTAGAACCTTTCCCAGCAACAGAGGCTGAATTTTCATTCCATTTTCCTTGCCAGTGATTGGTTAAGCAACAAAGTCATGGACTGGTGGGGTGGCTCAAGTGGTAGAGTGCCTGTCTAGCAAGCATGAGGCCCTGAGTTCAAATCCCAGTACCACCAAACAAACAAAACAAAACCAAAAAAACAGGACAAAAAACAGGGGGTGGTTGCCTTTTCCATTTCTTGCTGCCTGGATCTATGGCAGAAATATTAGGACCTCAGACCAGTGGAACAGAGAATGAAGAATGGGTGGGGATGCCATTGTGAAGTCACAGAATGCAGAAGGCCCAGATCTCCTATCTCTGAACTTTTCCATACCTCCTTATTGTTTAAGTGATTGGGCTTAGGAAGGGAGACTTCTGTCACCCCAAGAAATAACATATTTTATAGACCATATACATGAACACGTGCTCATTCTCTCTTTTCCTTAAATGAAGCCAACTTTTGTTTGAGTGCTAACTCCATATCCTTCCACCCCCAAATCCAAGCTCCTTGCAGTGGGGCTCACATTCTGCACTGTCTGGAGTTACCTTAATCCCCAGCACTTCAAGGCCTAGGTCCATACTGACCTCCTACATGAGATTTCTTATTCTGCCTCTCACTCTACATCTTATTTGCTGATTTCAGTGTCTCCCTCTTGTGTCTACCACAAGCACACAATTGCTTTATCGAGGCTGAGTGCAAAACACTGTTTTCCTTCACCTGAAACATGGGGTTTTCTTTTCCTGTTTTTATTCCATGTCTTCTTTCCTCATCTTACCTCTCTGCAGAAGAAAAGACCAAGCTGGGCAGGTGGCTCATGCCTGTAATCCTAGCTACTTGGGAGGCAGAGAGCAGGAGGACTGTGAGTTGAAGCCAGCCTGGGCAAAAAAGTTCTTGAGACCCCATCTCAACCAATAAAAGCTGGGCAGAGTGGCGTGCACTTGACACCCCAGCTATGCAGGAAGCATAAGTAAGACAACTGAGGTCCAGGCTGGTTCAGCAAAAACATGAGACCCATCTTAAAAATAACTAAAGTAAAAAGGGTTAAGGGTGTAGCTTAAGTGGAAGAGCACCTGCCTAGCAAGTGCAAAGACCTGAGTTCAAAACCCAGTACCACCAAAAAAAACATGAGATAAAAAAATTCAGGGCTCAGGCACTACAGAAAAGCATTTTAAAAGAAAGCCAAAATTGACATGGCCTACCTTCTGGAAGTTACAGATAAGGGAAAGAATTATAAATGACAGAAGGGAAGCAGCAGGCAGACGCCATATAAACAATCCCATTTCTGCACTTCCTAATTCTCGCTCATTACCAGTCCTACTAGTGAAACTGGGGTGGAGATCCTTAGTAAATCAGAAGTTACAGAAGAAACTACAGCAGGGTCTAGCACAGAGCCCATAGGCAATAAATGTTAGTGAACAGAGGTGAACTAGCACCACCGAGTGGGGGCTTGCGGTTAAAGCACAGAAGCTTTTTACTCTAAAAACAGAGAAACTGTGGTCCCCAGTAACAACACTGCTGTGATAGCTGCTCCACTGTGGACTTCAAGCTCTTTTGAAATCTGAGGTCTTTTTGGTTTTACTTCAAAATTCCTGTGATCATTAGCTAAAGTTCAAAACTAGAGGGCCATGACCAGAAAAGGAGCAGACCATCTACATCAAGGCATTGCCCACTGCAAAGCCTGACCTCCAGTCAATGCTCTGGACCCTCCTTCTTTAAAAAAAAATATATTATTTTTTAATTTACTTTGCAGTTCTGGGGATGGAACCCAGGCCTAATGTGTGCTAGCTGAGCTCTAGTGACAGCTAGCACTCTACCATTGAGCTACGCCCCCAGCCCTGGGGTTGTCCTTCTGGTGAGACAACAAAAGTGTTTGCAAGGACCATGACCCAATGTCCAAATCAGCTCGTACCATTGAAGGTGTGCAACAGGATTCTGATAGGCTTTTTACCCACTCTGAATAATAAAAATAAGCCACTTTCATGAGGTAATATCAAACCAACACTAAGAACTTCTGCAAGATCATTTATATTACACGATAGAATAAAAAAAAGTGGTAAATGTTCAGCTAGTTAAATAAGCACCAAACACTACAAATTGCAACCAACATGGTTCTATTAAAAACTGTCTTCAACTATGGCATTCAAGGACAGCAATACAATATTTTCTTTACAAAGCCACTAATATAAAAATCTGAAAATGCCATCAATTCATTTCTAGACTATTCTCATATAAGTATTAGATATATTTTCTTGCAATTCTTTCCTGAGGTATTTTTTGTGGTTTAATTTTATTGTACTGCTGGATGCATCATCTTTGATCATCCTTTCCTAAGGTGACCATTTAAAGACCTACAAAACTTTCTATTGCATAGGACACTCTTCATGACACAGGGTTTGGGAACTACAAATATGTAGCATTGGAATAAGTCTTACAAATAGTTCATTTTAAGAATTTGTTACATACATTTTTACACTTTTGTCTCTTTTTTAAAAATTGAAAGTTATAGCTAAGTATTAACTACATACAGTGAAGCATTTTAGGAATGTTGGAGATTAGGAAGTAAGATGAATGATACAAAGGAAAAAAAAGCCATTATTCTTGCCGGCTATATATTGTATTGCCTTGAAAAGCAACTGTACATGTTGTAATCAGTTCATAGTTAAATATTTCTACTAATCTGTTTTGGGAGAGCAAATGTCTTTCAAGGTTTCAAGTTCCTCTATAAGCTTCTTGTTCTGAACTTCCAGCACTGCAACTCGACTCTCCAGACACTTCACATATTCTTTCTTTCGACGTCGACATTCTTTAGCAGCTTCCCTGGAAAAAGTAGAGGCAAAGGCAAACAATTTTTTTTTTTTTGCATGCTATTGACAAACAAGTTGAAGTAAGCTTGGTAAATGTGGTCATAGTTGCAATTCAAATCTTGGAACAAGATTCCCAATTCAATTTCACACACTAAGCCAAACTGGGTTCTTAGTTAAGGGTCACAAGTGTCCCTTGCACAAGTCCACATGGCGATGAGAAGTGCTGCATCGCCTTCCTTGATTAGAGTTCACAGTACACAAGGTCCAAGTCAAAGACAGTTACTCTGCTTTATGGCAATAAAGATCTTTGAGGGCCTTGAGTTCCTCAATGAGGGTCTTGTTTTGGTTTTCAAGCACGGCCACACGATTTTCAAGACATTTGACATATTCTTTCTTCTTCCTGCGACACTCCCGGGCAGCTTCCCTGGAACCAACACAAGGCAAATGACTACAGGAATGACTTTCCAGCACAATCCAGAATGGCTCAATGAACTTCTGCCCCCAAAATCAACAGCCAATCAATCCTAGGAAAGTATTGCACAAAGCCACACAACAAACAGATCCAAATACATGCCTTTCTGAAAGACAACAGAGCATAATCAATTTGACCAAATGGTGTTTTCTTGGAGCACATGTCCCATGATGACAATGACTAGAATTATATTTGGTAATGTACAACAAAAGGACCACCTTTCCAAGTAGAACTCCTACAAAAACATTTATAGATCCTTTCAATCCTCTAAGTTATTCTTTGTCTTCCAAAAGTCACACCTATTCTATCACAGTGAGTAAATTTTATTTGGTCTAAATGACCAAATAAACTTCTCAGCTATGGAAAACACCTGTTTCTTCTATTAATAGTCACCTCAGTTTTCAGGCCTTGCCTGAAGTAAAATTCAGAAAACTTAAATGCCAATATTTTGTATTCTTCAAGACTAAATACCAGTAAAACAAGAACAATCACGACTGCAAAAAACAGGTTTTTTCTTTTTGCTAGAAAACACAACATGGATAAATTACAACAGTAAACAAAACATGTACATTTTTATAAACCAAAATGAAATGAACAGTGCTTCTGAAAATTAAAGAATGGGGGTCACACATTACAGCAGTCAGTAATTCAGACAAGCCAACAAATAATGTGAGAACACAATTAAAATTATGAAAAAGGAAGTGACTGAACTCAAAAGCACACAGTAAGACTATTCGGTAAACATATTCATTTAACATGCAATATGCTGAATTTTAAAGCACTAGAAGCAGCTCAAAGGAAAGGACAGACCAGCAGCCAAAACAATAAGCACAAATAAATAGATGATTTAGTAATTTTCATGCCTAATTCTACCCCAAAGCAGTATCACCAACATTTTCTGTCTCCTTTTTTTCAGTGTGGGAAGGGATAACAAGTATTTTGCTTAAATTCTCTTTAAAAGATATCTTCTAATAACAGCTTTATTTTAGAGTATGCAAATATAGAATAACTACCATATATTGTCATTCAACTACTTTTTTAACAAAGTAATGTTACATGTCTAAGTATGAGTTACTGTAATGCCAATCAGCATTGCTACAATCCTTAACCATGACACATACAACAGAATTGGTCATTTGTTCTATTTTTAGGATAGTTGACTCTCACTGACTGGATATTTGTGTTTTCTCTATGGAAAGCAAGAGTCAGCAGAAAAGAAACCTTGAAATCCTAATGGACTGCAGGAAAAGAACAACCCCTACTTCCTAACCAAGAATAATGCTCTCATCCTGTGAACTCACAAAGTTCTCAACTTCTCAATTGATTAACAAAAAATTTTTTAAGATGTTAATAGTGAATTGAACCTGAAAAATAGTGATGAATTTAACCAAATGATGCACAAGAAAAAGAATAAATACAAACACACAGATCTGCCACTTTGGGAACAGAATTCAACTCTCGTTACAGAGAAACTAAAATTCATTTTCAATAACAAGGTTTTCATGATTAAATCATTACACTAAATTCTAGATCTAGAAGGAAGATAGTCATTCTACAGAAGAAGTTACCACTAAATGCATGTTTAAAAACCTAGCAGCAATGTTATGTGGTCCTTAATTATTAAAAGTTTATTTTTTTTATTTCATTTTTATAAATGTCTATACTTTATATATATTTTGTGTGTGTGTGTGTGTGTGTGTGTTACTAGCATCAAATGTTCCAAGCACAAAGCCTTGACCAATTACACCACTGGATGGCACATTCCTAAGTACTTCTCAGCTATGGAAAACACCTGTTTCTTCTATTAATAGTCAGCTCAGTTTTCAGGCCTTGCATTTGAATGCAACTAGCCCCAGCATGGAGAGGAAAAAAAATATATGGCAAAGAGGAGAAGGTGACCAGGTTGTACAGAAATAAAGACTGTTGCTGTATTGGTAGAAATAAAATTAAATATATATTACAGATACCAGCCAATGTACAGGACACATCTTTCATGTTAATTTTAAAACCTATACACTTTCCATGAAGTCAAGTCTGAAGCTGACACTGAGGTCTTTTTGAGGCAACCCTGGTGTAAGGCAAGGGTCTACCACTGAGCTACACCCAGGTTCTGGAATAAAGACTGCCTGATTGGGAGGTGAAGACAGGGGGATTATGGTTTAAAAGCCAGCTTGGGGAAAAAGTTAGAGAGACCCTATCTCAAAGAAAAAGCAAGCTGGGTGTGATGGCACATGTCTGTAGCCCCAGCAACAGCAGAGGTATAGGTAGGATGATAGTCTGAGACTGGTTCCAGGCAAAAAGTATAAGACCCTACCTGAGAAATAATTACAGGGAAATGGGTGGGGGGTATGGCTCAAATGGTAGAGCGCCTGCCTAGCAAGTTTAAACCCCCTAGTACTTTCTTCCCTTCCCCCCAAAAAAAGAAGATTGCCTTATTTCATATCGTAGTTCTTCAGTTTGGGCTATGTAACCTTGGCCAACTTATTACTTGGCCTTTTCAACCTCAGTTCCTCACAGGAAAGTCTTCAGGGGTTGAGTGAGCTAGCTGCGAGTTTTGGCTTTAGTCACTCTCCCTTCTTCCTGCTGGTGCCATGCAAGAGTGGTACAGTGGCTATGCTGGACCCTGAGGGTAAATGGGATCTGCAGAAAGAGAGAGCATGGAGGGGGTGCCCAGCTAGGACAGGATGCTGTGATAAGATTTAAAAACCTCCTACATCTCGCCAACAGCTCATTCCCTTATTTGCAGCACAATCACAAATGGTAATAGTTATTATTTATTAGACATTTTAATACAAAATGTCACAGTTTTTCCCTTAGGGAGATCTCATATATGGGGGGGAGGTGGCTCTGTGGTACATTTATATGATCCCACTTTTTGTTTATCTCACCTTAGTATTTCTACTGTAAAAATTCCAAAATCTAAAAGCGAGGGGGTGTGGCTCAAGTGATAGAGCACCTGCCCAGCAAGCAAAGTGCCCTAAGTTCAAACCCCAGTACTGCTAAAATTAAATAAACAAACAGAGAGTAGACTATAGTGACAAAAAGGAAATAGAACTATTTTCCTTGGGAAAAACAAGACATCGAGGAACAATGTTGCAGTTTGATTATTAGAGCACTTTATATTTCTAAACTGAAGTTTATAATGTATTTTATGACCAGAGAGGCAAATATATTCACAGCTCCTGAAACCTCAAAAAAAATATAATTTTAAACAATCCATTTTTCTCCACCAGTTCAAAGTAAGGATTTTTTTTTTCTTTTGAGACAGGGTCTCACTATGTTACCCAGGCTGGTTTTGAACCGTGGGCTCAGGCTATTCTTCTGCCTCAGCTACCCAGGTAGCTGGGACTACAGGTAAGCACCATCATGGCCAGGTTAAGATCCCCCTCCCCCCAGTGGTGCTAGGAATGGAACCCAGGGCTTTGTGCTCACTAGGCAAGCACTCTACCACTGAGCTACACCTGTAGCTCCCAACCCCCAGGCAAGACTGCCACAAAACAAGTGTGGTCTGTGTGAGCCCCACCTATTCATCCCTTTCAGGACTATGAGCAAGATGTTATGCTGGCATGGATGAGTGGCTTGGTAAGCCTTGGGTAGGTGCTGACAAAGATGTGCCCATTCTTGGCTATCCGTTCAGTTGTCTAGTATACAAAACTCCATCCAATGATCAGTGAAACTACTGAATTTGAGAACCTTAAGGATTCCTATAATATATTAAGTTGTGCCATTTATCACCAATAAACCAAATATAGCTACTTCTGCTCACACTCAGTTACAAAGGACAGTGATGAACTCAGAACTGAATATTAGGGGCTCAGTGACCACAATGTATAGATGAACTAGGTCAGTAACACCTGTCAACTCCACTGTATGGTACTGATGACAGGTAAGACGATGGCCCCAACTGAAATGTTTTATTTCCTTGCAAAACGCATATTACTTAACACCTACATATAGATGACAAGACTACTGGGAAACTCTTAAACAACTTGTTCATTTTGCAAATCAAGTTGATCTGCACCATTCTCCATAATAAGAACAAAACCAAAAATAATATGCAAATCAAATTAAAATTTTGGAGTTTAAATTTTAAAAATATTTGGGAAATTACCATTTTATGATGTGCTGATGCTTAAAAATAAAACTGCAGAGCTATGGAGCAAAAATAAGTGAGAGAGAGGACTTTGCTCCCATTTCCTTTGTGGGGAACAGGAAATGTTTCTCTCCCCCCACCCCCAATCTTGTCCATACTTTATCCTGTTATACTAAAATGAATTCTTAAAACTTAAAAAAAAGTGAGAGAAAATGAGTGAGAGTAGGTTGGAAGCACATGTACTATACTATTAGTGGGCATCTGAGAAGTAGGAGGTATGGGTGATTTTTTTTTTTTCTTGGTGGTACTGGGGTTTGAACTCAGTACCTCACAATTGGAAGGAAGGTGTTCTACAACTTAAGCCACTTAACAGCCCTTTTTTGTGTTGAGTATTTTCAAGGTAGGGTCTCATGAACTATTTGCCCTGGGCTGGCTTCAAACAAAGATCTTCCTGATCTCTGCCTCTCAAGAAGCTAGGATTACAGGCACCCAGCTTTGGCATGGGTGATTTTAATTCTTTTTGTTATTTTGTGTTTGCATGTGACTAGAATTTGTCAGAATAATATGTATTTCATCATAATAGTGAAAAAACAAAGTTATAAAATAGATAAAAGGATAAAAGAACTTAAAAAGAAATGTTTTAACATTTAAATTTATTTGGCTAATATAAAGGAGCTCAAATTATACTTGTCACAATACCACATTACAAAGTAAAACCATATGCAAAATAAGTGTTTGTGATAAAGTCTATTCTTATTTTTTAAAAATAACTGTATCTTTTGAACATTACCCTTACAACACTCAGGGATACACTTCCTGCTAATGAAAATAGTTTAATGACTGGGAACTCAACGCCTGCTAATTCTCACCAATTGCAGAGCACAAAGCCACAAGCAATGCCACATAACACTGAGCTTGGGAGAAAGGGCTTAGCAAAAGTGTAATATTTTTAAAGCTCCCCGGTAACAATCATGTGACCCTCAGGTGGTTTCTGTTGTCCAGTGAAGTCTCCTACCTGTTTTTCATTAGCCTCAGCTCCCGTTTACGTGTTGCTTCTTCGGCTAGTTGCTGGGGACTGTGCAAACTTCCTGGTGAGGTGGCCATCACTACCCCTGTGGCAAAGCGGTAGTTGGAGCTCGGATCTGGTAAGTTGGCATGTCACCTGTGGCAGCTGCAATCAAACACAACATTACAAGTTTAAATAAACAGTTTTCAAGTTCATATTTCTGTAAAACTAACCTGGAAGTAACATATTTTTTATATGTCAATAGAGGTGACCTTGTCATGTTGAAGATGATTACTCTGAGATTACAGAAATCTTAAATATCAAAGATGCCATTCAGCATTGGGAACAAGACATGCATTCACCACACTCTCCGTATTTAAGATAGAGAACTGTCAATGCATTTCAGACAATGGCTAAAGTGGACAGGTTTTTAAACTAAGAGTTCACTTAGGTTCACATCAGTGGTGTGCAGGTAAACATTCAAGAAACATCTTGGGGAGAAGGGGAGGCCTGATCTGATTCCCACAATGGAAATACTTTCACAGTGACCAATTTTATTAAAGCCACCACTGTGACTTCACTGAATGTAGAGCTGGGAAGAGACAAGCAGTAAGTGGTACACCATACAGATCAACATGTGAACAACCTCAAGAGCACGGAAGAAAAAAATCATTAGAAATCGTGTTGCTTTTTGTGTAATGTATGTGAGTGTACATGTTTAATTTGTAATAATGGCTGTTTTAACAACCAGTTCATAAAATGCTGAAGTAGCAGTTGGCTCTGACAAGCAGTGTATGCCAGCTTTAGCAGTACATCACTACCCTCTAAGTGTACCAAAGTGTTCCCTACCCTATACCATGCCTGAAAAGTTACTGAAAGTCCTACTCCAAGAAAGTGATGGAGGCCAGGGAAGGAATCCAGTTTACTGCAACTGCAGTTAACAACAAAAACCCCAGCATAACTCTTCTTAAAACTGGCTTCTCTAGGGAGAAGTTTTTGTCTTGTTTTTTAAGGTAACACATTTCTAAGTGTTCACTTAAAATATTTTCTAAGAATAGTATAATCATACAGTTAACAGACAGATTTAATATTTACTTAATATTCAGGTTGATAACTAAAAGAAGATGTTCAAAGTTTCCTAATTTATATTCAAAATTTGTCTATCAACTGCAATCAACGTAGCTTCCTAGAAAAGACGGATGGATTTGAGTGGTAAAATATGTTTCTACCACCAACACTGCAACTTTGAGAGCGTGTGGTCCAGAGTTAATCTGATACTCTGATGATATATTTCAAAATACATACTCTCTCAAAGCTAATTGCAAGAAAGGAGTTAAAAACAGTTACTAAATCCTACAAAATGGATCCAAACCGAATGCCAATCAAAAGAGGAAATACAGTACTTCCATATTTTTACATTTCAATGGTATTATACCCATTGAGTAAGAACTGACAATTTTCCACAATGGGAGACAAAGACTTTTTCACCTAAGTGGAATACTGTTACTGAAAAGGAAAGAAAATAGTCAAGCAGTTTCAAAAGTTAAAAACTAAACAATCTGTTTGCTTCTAATTGGGTAAACACTTTTCCACCTAGGGTTTGAGGATTAGGTGAAATAAAGAAAAATCACGGCTTTTAGGGAAGATTGCCTAAGACTCAACATAGAATTAATTAAAAGGCCATTTGTAAGAATGTACTGCCTTTTCCTTTCTTTCTTTTTTTTTTGGTGGCACTGGGGTTTGAACTCTGGGCCTCACATTTGCTAGGCAGGCAATCTTACCACTTGAACCATTCCTCCAGCCCTTCCTTTTCCTTCTTTACGTAAGTTTTGAAACAATGGCAATAAATTGTAACTGGGATTAATGATCACCAGTCAAATCTCTATTAATAAGCTTGGGAAAGGTCCTAAATTTGGTTTTGTGACTATTCAAAATAGTACATGCACATCTCACTATATGTGTGGGAAATCTGCAGCTTTGGGACAATGCAGAAAAAAACAGTTGTAAACTTACTACTACAAGATTTAAAAAAAATTGTGATCATACTGCAGAGGAGATGGGATGGAACACAGAACAGCACAGTCCTTCCCCGTTTTCTCTTTACCCACATCCAGGGAAGAAGGTTCGGGGATGATAAAGGCTGAAACAATGCAACAGCTGGGGGCTGCGTGGGCTTTCTAAAATTGGAACAATAGCCAGTGACGAAGGAGAAGTGTACATGTCACCGCACTGACATTTGCAGGCTGTCTGGATGCAGACCTGGCTCTAGGGTTGTTCTGTCCTCACACTGCTCACAAAGAAGGGCAAAAACTGCTATAGCAATGAACCCAGGAGCTCAGTCCACTCTAAATTTTGTACACATTTGCTATTTTCTGCTACAGGAAGGAAGAGCAGAATGCCTATGTGATATACAAAAGTATCCTTTTTTAAAAAAATAAACAGGGAAGGAGGAATGTAGGAATACTTTACAGATGAAAATGGATACCAGAAATGGTTCCAAACAACTTTTGCCTGTTTCCAAAAGCCACAGTTGCCCTTGAAGGACCCGATTTGACAGTATGAAGGATGGATGGCAATTCCAGATGAAGCACTCTTAAACATTTTGAGCAGTAGCTCCAAAAAATCATTTACTTTCTTTGAAGGGGAAAGATAGACCTGGTTTTATTAGCTTTGGGCTGTTAGATGTTTTATAAATATAGCAGATATTCATTTTATTTGCTTTAACACAAGTCAAAGCCCACTAGTTCAAGGTACAAATATGAATTAGCATAAATTAGGTAGAATAAATTTCTGGGTTAGCTCAAAGAGTTTAGAAGATAGTATACTTCTAATGGTAAAAGGATAAAATTCTATACATTCAAAGATAATCTAATTGGTAAAGTACATTTAAAAGATATGGGCAAAGAGAATGTCTTCTGAGAAAATCTAAGTGGCAAAAAGTTTTATTTTTGAAATAAGTTATGAAAAAGTGTTTACATTAGTGAGCTTCAGTTTGCAACAAGAATTTGGTGGTAACTTAAGCAGATTAGATACAAAGAATCATAGTTTAAAAAAAACAAACAAAAACACCCTACATTCTTTGATGACAGTTTTTTATTCCATTACCTTACAAAGGTCAATTCCTAAAAAGGTCCAAAATTACTTTTTATTCTAGATTTTCTTTTTTTTTTTTCTTTTCTTGAGACAAGGTCTCACTATATGGCCCAGGGTAGCCTTGTGGTCTTCCTGCCTCAGCCTCCTGAGTGCCGGGATCACAGGGGTGCACCAACACACCCAGCTTTAAGATTCCATCTTTATTTCCTGAAAACATGTTGGGTCATCAGGGAGTACTTAAAAATTATGACTGAAGGTAGATAACAAGGAAAAGATCTTTATATGCTAATTTTATTCTCAGGAAGCAAAATCTTTCAGAGAAGTCTGGGACAGAATCTTTTCATATTGGAATGCCCTAGAACTGTACTAGCACAGTACTTGGGATGGGTACTTCATGAATTTCTGTGTGCACTGTGCAGTAAATTGTGAACTTCCTAGGGTTTCTGCACAGCCCACTGTCACTTGGAATGTGTAAATGAGCAGCCTTTCCTGTAGACACACTATTTTAGCTGTATTTAACCTTAAGAATGGGAAGTCCTACAAAATGCTATGTGTTTATTTCAAGAGCCTTTCGTAACAAAAGGCACCATATTTCTTAAATCTTCCCTTAGATATACTTTAGTGTCTAACCTGGCATTTTAAAAGCAGAGGGTTCTATTTATGTGGTCCCAACCATATAAGTCCTGAGATGAAAAATAAATTCAGGATTTTGGTATCAAAGGTTTCATGGAAAAGATATTCCTAGAACTCTCAATTCTGGTCATTAACTTCATACCTCTCTTTGCAAGCTTTAAACACCGTACAGCAGAAAAAGCATGGGATTTGGAGTCTGGGTTCTAGTCCAGCTCTGCCACTTACCAGCCATGTGACTTGGGGAAAGTTCAGTTTCCTCATCTGTAAAATGGGGACATATTATATCATTTCATACTCACGATAAACCCTGCAATGTATGTCACAGTGTCTAGCACAGTGCCTGGCACATGGCAGGCATTCAGCATTTGTTAGTTCCCTTCCTCTTCCCTTCCTTAAATTCTGAAAGACAATGTTCCAAATTATCTTATACTGTATGTTAGTTAAAAGGCTTATAACATCCATAAATAAAAGCTCCCCTGGAGTTTCCCTTCTAACAAACCCAAGGAATTAAAATGTATGGCTCTTATTCCTTATTTTGTCTAAAAAGTTTTAAAATTTATAATACATTATATCTATCCCTTTAGAGAATAAATTATTAAAAGGTAACATAAAAGTATCCTTTTTGAGCAGAATTATTTAAAATAGAACCTCAAAGGTGGAGAATCACAAATGACCAAATGATATACTGTTGTCAGACTAGTAAGAAGATATATTCTTAAAATTAATACTAACTACTTCATTTTATTTCTAATACAGTGACTGAAAAGTTTTACATTACAAATGTGGGTTGCATTGTATTTGTACTGAACAATTTTGATCTACATGTTCAGAGTCTAGATTACTTAAAATTTCCATTCTTAATGACTATTTAGTATTACTAATTTAATTCATTCTTTTAAATGAAAGTAATTAATGGCTATTAATCATGCGGAAGTGACACTAACCTCAGTCTTCTACTTGACTTAGAAGCCTGTGGTAAGGACTTTCTGATGTACTGTGATTTTGCTACTTCAAATTCTGTTTTGTTTCATTTAAGGCTGATAAAGTGTTTTGAAAGTAAAAATTAAGTTTCCCAACATCTCTGGGAGATACTCTGTGAACCTGAAAATAGAAATAACTTACTTTGTGACCAAAAGCAATACCCAGGAAACCAAAATTAAACTAGTTAAGATATCACAAGCATTTTACAAGCAATTAAGCCTTTCATTTACAAAGGGGAAACTAACATACCATGCATTCTGTTGGATTTCATGAACTCTTTCTCTTCCTTGTCGACACTGGAGGGACGCCAAGTAAACTTCTGAATGTTTTCATCAAAATACCCACTCAGATTCTCATCGAAGACTGTGAACAATAGGTAAAATTCCTTGTCTATTCCTTTCTACAGAGAAGAAAGAAACATACACAAAAAACTTGAAGGAATTCATAGCACTGTTGCACTTTCAAAGTTCATACAAAGTAAATCACATTTCCATGTAGAACTCTGAAGATTCCAGAATCAAATAAGACACAGCAGAATGAGACCCACAGAGTCCCAGCTATAGCAAGCAGAAATGCTATAATCCTGGGTGGGGTTTAGTTACTTCGGAAATTTAAATCGTAAGTTAAAAAATAATATCCTCATTATGAAGTCAATTTCAAGAGGAAGAGACATTGATCCTATAACTGACTCTTTATCACTAGCTAACCTCTAGCCACATTGCTGGTCCCTCCCACATACAACACTGACAACAACTTGGTGGCATTGATGACCTACCTGTGTCCCATCAGCATTGAGAACATACTTTTTACAGACTAGCAAAGGTCCTACAGGCCAGCACTGGTGTCCTTGATTGCCTTAACTGCCGAGAAGTAAAGGTAGGTCAAGCAAGAGGGATCATCATCTCTCGGGCTGACACTTTCAGGTACTGTCCACCTGTATGTGAAGGTTTCACCTGGCTTAACATGTGCCCCTGGTTTCAGAAATCCTGAGGAAACAAGTGAATTTGTTACTGAAAGCAACATCCCAGTCTTGTCAGACTAGGTCTCCAGCCCTGGCCTGCTCTCTGATGCTGACACATTTTGCAGAAGGAAATTGTCTTCTCATACATATTCCACCAGTGGAGGCCACTGCTGTTTTATGAGATAGAAGCTGAAATCAAAGGATTAATTGTAGATTGTACAAATACCAGCATTAGCAAATGTTAAGAGTGATAGTACTCCATTCAACAATTAAATGCAAGTCCAATAAGATATCATTGAGTGTCTTTTATGTAAAATGTATTACACTTAGTCCTGCAGAAAATACACCCAAGAGTTAAATAAGAACCCTATCTTTAAAGAGTTTCAAATCTGGGAGACTGGGAGCTTGAACAAGCAAATAATCTAAATAACTTCAAGACAGAGGAGGGAAGTGAATGTCCAAGGTTACAAAGCTGTTAATGGCAAATCCGGATATAAGCTCGGGTCTGTCTGACTTAGAAAATTGCAATTAATTCTCATTTTGTATTACCAAAGGACATACTGAATCTCTCTTACTGGAGAAGGCCACAGATTCTTTTTGCATCATGCCCTATGCTTTGCAAAAAATGCGCCCAATATGTTTTCTTACTGATCAAAGTTTTCTTTATTGACCAAAGTAAATTATGCTCCCAACAAGGATACATCAAGAAACCCTTTTGAACACTGACTCTGTAATTAATAATGAAAGACAGGACTGTAAAATAGGTACAGGCGGGGGTGGGGGATACTTATGGGAGGAAGGAGGTGAGGAGGAGATGAAGGTGTGGGATATGGTTGATGGGCTGCGTATACATATGGGAAATAGAACAATGAAACCTCTTGCGATTGCTTTAAGTGGGGAGGGAATGAGTTTGAGGTGGAGCGATGTTGGGGGCGATCTAACCAATGTACAATGTAAGCCTATTCAGAATTGTCCAAAGAATACTCCTTGTACAACAGATATATCCCAATAAAAATGAAAAAATAACTTTTCTGAGCTGAAAAATGAAGACAGACATTTTGGCTGGGCCTGGTATTCTTTCTGCATTCGGCCCCCACCCACATACACACACACAGTCATTCTGAGCTTTTTGCTGAGGAAGAGAACACAGGTACAGGAGGCACTGCAACAGGAGAGTATGAGAATGGGCCTGGGGAGTGAGAATTGTCCTTCCATTTCTTCCTTCTCCTTTCCCTTGCCATTACCACAAAGCATAATCCTGACTGGGCCTGGCCTCACACTAGGGCTTGAGGAAGGATCTGAGCTGGCCGTGATGTCCAGTGCAGCAATGGAGATAGGTACAGAAGAACCAGGAGTTTCCCAAGAGCAGCATCATGAAAGAAAGGATAGTTCCTGCTGCCAAAATCCAAAGCTTCCACTCCTGTGTGGAGAGCGGTCATGCTCCCTGCTCTGTGAGGGAGAGAGGCTGTATATGGTCGTCAGCCAACAATACAGATCTTTTTAAAATTATCATGTTCTTGTTGTACTGGGGATACATTGTGACATTTACAAAAGTGCTTACGATGTATCTTAGTTAAATTCACCCCCTTTATCATTCTCCTTTATCCTCCCCCACCCATTCTGAGAACAGTTTCAACAGGTCTCATTCTTCCATTTTCATAATGAGTACATGTTTCCACCATATTCACCATTCTACACCCTTTCCTTATACCCTCCCCATGCCACTGAAACCAACCTCCAGACAGGACCTATTTTACCTTCCTGTTCTTTGTTTTTAAAAAAGATATTTTGTTTCTTTAAGATGCTATCCAGGGTGTTTCATTGTGACATTTCCATGTATATATGTATTATAACCTGAATTGGTTCATCTCCTCCATTTTTCTCCTTTTCACCTTAGTCCCCTTCTTATAGTGATTTCAACAGGTTTAAAAATTCTATATTCATTCTTGTATAGAAAGTTCATCAACCATATTCACCTTCTTTACTTCCGTCTTTTACCCTCCCTCTTCTGTTAGTGACCTCCCCTTAGCATGACCTGTTTTTCATTCTTGTCCTTCATCGTTTAGGTATCTGTTTATTGTTCACTGGGATTTTGCCTTGATATTATACCTGTACATGCATTGTACTTAAGTCAGTGTAACCCCCACCGCTGCTCTTCCTTACCCTTTTCCCTATCCTGTGTTGTTTAACAGTTTTCAGTGTTTCCTTGTGTCTTGTTCCTACACAGATGTGATGTACTTCATTGATATCTTTGTTTCCTTCTTTTCCTCCTCCCCTGGTCTTCTCTACCAGTGTCTCAGTTTTGGATATGTGCTCTGTATTTATGTGTATATATACATTTAGTATATCTATATATTTTACATATACATACGTATTACATATATATGTGTGTAAAATGTTGCTTATAATTGTATTGGGCCTAGATTCCACACCTGAGAGAAAGCATAAGACCTTTGGCTTGCTGAACCTGGCTAACTTCACTTAAGATGATGTTCTCCAGTTCCATCCATTTACCTGCAAATGACAAAATTTTATTCTTCTTTATGGCTGAATAAAATCCCATTGCATATAAATACCATATTTTCTTGATGTAATCATCATTTATGGGGCATCTTGGCTATCTCCATAGCTTAGCTATTTTGAATAATGCTGCAATAAATATAGGTGGTGCAGGTGTCTTTATTATTACCTGACATATATTTCTTTGAATATATTCCTAGGAGTGCTGATTGCTAGGATCATATGGCAGTTCTATTTTTAGTTTTTTGAGGAGCCTTCATACTGTTTTCCACAGTGGTTATAGTAATTTATATTCCCACCAACAGTGTATGAGGGTTCCTTTTTCCCCACATCCTCACCAACATTTATTGTTGTTTGAGCTCTTGATGATAGTCATTCTAACAAGAGTGAGGTGGGGTCTTTATGTGGTTTTGATTTCCATTTCCCTTGCGGCCAGGAATGTTGATTTTTAACCATTTGGACTTCTTCCTTCAAAAGAGCTCTTTTCAGTTCATTTGCCCATTTCTTCATTGGGTCATTGATTTTTTTTGGAGTTTAGTTTATTGAACTCCCTGTATATTCTGGTTATCAATCCCTTGTCAGATGTATAGCTGGCAAAATTCTTGTCTCACTCTGTGGGCTGCCTCTTCAATCTGGTGACCATTTCCTTTGTTGTACAGAACATTTTAAATTTCATATAATCCCATTTGTCAATTTTTTCTCTTAGTTGGTGAGCCATTTGAGTTCTATTTAGGAAGTCATTACCTTATGCCTATTAATTCCAGTGTATTTTCTACACTAGCTTC